CACTGGGAGGAATTGACCTCCAGGCCAATTGGCTGTGAGGATCTGCTGTGTCTATAAAAGAAGAACTGTTGTGCTGGATACGTTCCTTGTTTCAGTGGGGCTTTGGTGCTCACTGAGTCCATCTCCCGAATGTGTAACTTATGGGTGTGAGGAGTTGAAACTGACCACTAGGAACACTGGCTTCTGCATCTCCAATGGGGTACATTTCAGCTACTGTCTGAGTCCACCCTGCAGGAGCTACAGCAAGAACCACAGTCCTCTCCTCCCTGCTTGGAGCTTGGAGATTTTGGAACCGTCTGCACCAGGTTGCAAGTTTGCTAGGTTAAACTGCAGTAGAGATGGCCATTCATATGCAAAAGCTGCTGCATGGAGCTTGGGTGTGTTTGTAGACTGTGTGGGGTGGAGTCTCAGGCAGAGTCTCAATGTGTCTCTAGTTTAGGGCATGGCTAACAGTGATGGCTGCCCATCAGCCATTTCTGCCTCTCCAACCACGTCCTTGCGTCTCCCCGAATCTCGCGCCCCCGCAGAGCAAATAATTATTCTTGCACGCAGCTCTGTAAGCAAGCCACCTTCACTTTCTGACTCAATGGCAGACAGTCTAGCTTCTCTCCAGAAAATGGATTTCAGAGAGATTGGGAGATTGTCTCTCTTTGGGTTGAAGAAAGCAATGCCCGCCCCCAGCCAGGATCCACTACCAGCCCATATACGTGCGCTCCCCTACCTCAGTTTTTCAGTGCTTATGCCATGAATGCTCCTTTCTCTTTCAGTCTAGTTGTAGAGGTTCCTTTCAGCCAGCTTTCTCATGGTTTTGGGTGATAGATGTTTTGTCTTTTAGTTGTAGTTTTGCAATTGTTGTGCATGGCAGCAGTTTAGGTGTGTTTACCTACACCATCATCTTTTCCTTTCCTGTTTTTTTTTGTGTGTTTTTTTTTAATTGTAGCCATATCAAACTTCATTTCCTCTTGGTTCTCACATATGTTGTTCATTTTCTTGTCCAGTGTGTTTAGGAACTTTATGAGCCTTGCTCTGAACTTGCTGACATATTGGTTGCCTCCATTTCATTTAGTTCCTTTTCTGGTGGTTCCTCTTTTCATTTCCTTGGGGGGGGGGGGTTGCTTCTTTGTCTCCCCATTTTTGCTGTCTCTTTCTGGCCCTGGGCTCCCTGCTTGGGGTTGAGGTTGAAGACACTATCGGGGCAATGATCTTGAAAATTGTTAGTCCAGAGGCTGGGTCTGGCTTGAGTCTCACACCTTTATTGTCTCTGCTCTGTGTTGTATCCCCTTCTCCCATAGATCTCGTCCCTCAGTTGTCTGCTTCAGATGCTTGGAGTGGTGGAAGCACGTGCACAGTTCCTCTGGTGTGTGACTTTCTGTAAGGACCCAGAGCCCTTTGGCATGCAATTCGCCTTGTGGCCCTGGCACCCATGGCAGGGTGGTACCCTAGGACCCTCTGGCAGTGCACTTGCAGTGTGATCCCTGGCTGGGCATACCAGATTGCTCTGTGACTCCTGGCAGCAGTCTCCTGTGGCCTGATTGGGGCACATGCTGGGTTGCTCCAGTTAGCCCTGGCGGGACTGTCCCTGGAACTGGGGTGGAGCAGGTGTGAGTTGCTCTGAGTTGCACAAAAAGAGTTCTCCTGTGGCCTGATGTGGTGTTCACACTGGGTTGCTCCGGGTCTCCCAGCAGCAGGTCCCAGGGCTCAAGGTAGAGTGGGTGCCAGGTGGCTCCAGTCAGACTGGCATCATGGTTCTGGGACCTGGGGTGAGGGTGGGGCACAGGGGTACCCCAGGCTTGCACTCACTGCAGGGTCCTGGAGCCAGATCCTGGGTCACTGGGTTCTGGAAGGCTGGTGAGGAGGTCTGGTGTGGAAGGTCATTCTGGCAAGCACTTACTGCAGACATTGGGAGCCTGCTGGGAGGTACTGTTCCATTCACTACCAGGGCATGGTGGTGGTTCCATGTGGGTTATGGCTGGCAAGTGGCCGTCTCTAGTTATCCTCTGCCCTTCCTTCTTGAAAATTGTCTCTTTAGCTGTTCCTAATTTGTTAATTCGGGTGGATGTTCTCCAATTTAGTTGCTTTTCCAGCCTGGCCCCAGGAGAAGGTGTGAGACATTTCTGCCTATTCGACTGCCATTTTGAAATTCTTTCTTACTATTTTTTAAAATGATATCAACATCCCCCTCTAAATAACAAGCTATTGCATAAACCCGAGTGACAAATGAGCCAGGTATGAGAAAACACAGTAATGTCTGGTTCAGAACATAAAATGTTCTGGACTCCAGAAGCTCAAATCACACCACAATTAAGACCCTATACAAATGCAAAAATAAAAGGACAAAACTCACCCAAACATACTAAAACTCTACATCATAAAATTAACATTTTAAAGATAAAGATTGTCAAATACTTTCTTTCTATGGTATACTTTTAAAATTCTAAATTATGAGAAGGGAGTATACCGGGGTAAAAGGTTCTCCAAATTAGTATAAGGAGAGGACAAGAAGGGGAAAGTGGCCTGCACTAATAGAGGAATAAATAAACCAGCATCAGTGATCTTGTCTCTCAGTGACATTGGGGGAAATGTTATTAGGAGTTTAATTTTATTCATGTCTATAGTGAATTTTATTTGAATATTTTTTGTTGTTTTTTTAAAATACATTTTTATTGATTTCAGAGAGGAAGGAAGAGGGAGAGAAAGATAGAAACATCAATGATGAGAGAGAATCATTGATCAGCTACTTCCTTCACACGCCCCACTTGAGTCTGAGCCTGAAACCTGGACATGTGTCTTGACCGAGAATCGAACCGTGACCTCCTATTTCATAGGTGGATGCTCAACCACTGTACCTTGCCAGCCAGGCTCTATAGTGAATTTGTTTAGCTCACATTCTATTAGTGAGAGTAACTAGTTTAATGAGAAGGACAGGTAAGAAGAGTTAAGGTACAAATAGAATGCATAGGAGTCACCCTGATAAAAACCCATAAAAGAGGTTGGTACAGAAATGTGACACATCTTTAAAGACTAGCTAGAAAACAATTCTTTAGACTGACTCTGTTAAGCTTATGACACTGATATTCTAGCCTACATATAGGGATATAACTAATTTACCTATAGATGCTTACAGTGCTACCTCTGGCTTTGTTAAATTGTGCTTTTTCAGGGCTTTAAAAAGAACTTCCCCAATATACAATGTATTTCCAAAAAAGAGAGAATCAATCATCTTAGAGCAGTGTTTCCCAAACTTTTGACATATGTGTACCCCTTCTATAATTTTCGTAACGCTGAGTACCCCTCGTACTCATGAGAACGTAGAATTAGGTGCAGATAAGCACAGTGCAGTGCATATCCCCACCAAACTCCGGTGCAATGCCTACCCCCACCAAACTCTTCCCATACCCCTGGGAGTACGCATATCACACTTTGGGAAACACTGTCTTAGAATAACAACCATATAGATTTTTTAAAAAGAAACAACAATTTCTAATTTTTGGTCAGGGGAAGAAAGACAAAACAAGATAAATAACACCTTTGATAAAGTAAACAGAGTGTGTTTCTTTGTCCAAGAACTGTGTTTAGCTACTAGAAAACACCGTAAATTACAAGAGTAATTATTCATGATTTCTTATGATTTCTCAACCTTTCAAATACTTTTTTACCCAAAAAGCCATCAATAATGTTAGACCTAATTTTCTCAAGTGTCTGAAATCTATTCCTAGTGCAGTGGGAGGGGGGTTAGATGTGAAAATGAGTAATTATTTCTCTGAGTGGCTGCCATTATGAGAAGTAGAAGGAAATCCAAGTTAAACCTGTTAAAGATTTATCTCACTCCAAAAATCAACCTTAAATCCCCACTCTCCTAACTTCCATCTACATAAGTATGAATTTGTCATGACAAAAGTTCATGTTATGAGTCCTAGCCAGTTTTGGCTTTGTGGAGATAGCGTTGGCCTCTGGTTTGATTCTAGTCAAGGGCACATGCCCAGGTTGCAGGCTCGATCCCCAGTAGGAGACATGCAGGAGGCAGCCAATCAATGATTCTCTCTCATCATTTGTAATTCTATCTCCCTCTCCCTTACTCTCTGAAATCAATAAAAATATTTTTTTAAATTTCATGCTGTCCAAAACATTAACAAGTTCTAGTTAATATTTTGCTTATTTCAATCAATCTATATATATAAAGCCTAATATGCAAATTGTCTCCATGGCAGTTTGACCAGGAGACTGATTGCTTACTATGACATGCACTGACCATCAGGGGGCAGTACAGAATAAAGGAAAGCCCTGGCCAGCAGCCAGAAGGGCCCAATAGGCACTGATCACCAGCCAGGTCTAGGGACCCTACCCGTGCATGAATTTCATGCACCAGGCCTCTAGTGTTATAAAATCCCAATATAAACCAAATGGTGTGGACCTTAAAGCAGAGTATCAAACCTGGCTATTCACTAGAATCGGCTTAGAATTTTAAAATAAAAACTATTATTAAAAAAAGAGATTTCAGAATCTACTTAATCAGAAACTCCAGAGTCTCAGATTCTGTATTATAACCATTTTCAGGTGGTTTCTGACAACAACAACAAAAAATAGACAGATTGGCAACTAAGAAACAGAGTAGCCTTTGCCAGTTTTTCTCAATGGTTAGAATATTGGTCCTGAAACTAAAGGGTCTCAGGTTTGATTCCCAGTCAAGGACATGTATCTTGTTTGCAGGCTTCATCCCCCAGGTAAGGCATGTGGGGGAAGCAACTAATCAATGTGAGATGTTTTTCTCTCTCTCTCCTCCCTCACACCCACTCTCTCTAAAAAAAAAATTTTTTTTAAATCAATGGGAAAACAACTTCCAGTGAGGATTTAAAAAAAAAAAAATAGAGTACATTGTAATAGGATTTATATTATAACATATATTTTTTTAATTAGAAACGTAAAGTTTTTTGTTTTTCTGTGCCAACTTTGAAATCTAATCCTGAAATGAAGAGATAAATTTCATGTAGTTGTAAGGATACTGTGAAGGTAGGTTTATATATATCATATGCTACATTCGCCAGGCTCTTGGCAATCATCTGGGTAGTCACCTTCTTTTGACGCAGAAAAATTTTCATTCTTGGCTTCATATACAGAATACCACAAAATGCCTATGGAACAGTGAAGGGAAAGTTATTATATGATGTAACTAATTCTACTAACATCCCCTTTAAACACTGCTAGCAACTGAGGTCTATTCTGGGTAAGGATTTGGCTCAGTTCCATACCATGTTATACTATGTGAACTACCATACTAAGGTGGTATTGAATTTATTCACTAAACACTTTTGGTGGAGCCAGTGAAAAGGAGTCCTAACACCGGGCTAAAAGACTGTAATCTCTATATAACTAAAGAGATATTGTTATATAGATTTTCATGTTACAGGAAATCTTACCTCTCATTGTTGAAGAAAAACCATTCTTACTCACCCGTAAAGAATACTCTGTTTCTGGCAGTTCAGAAGTAACACCACCAGTCTCTTTTTCTTCTGTGCCAAAGTCTGATACCAGGATATCATATTGATCTGTATCAAAGTCCAATTCAGACTTTCCATCTTTATTTCTGAGTAAAAGAGACAAGTACCAATCTAACAAAATCTGGTTCCAAAGGACAAAAATGCACTAGGAACCCAAGAGAAAAGAAACAATATGAGCCCAAACTCAGATACCTATTTTTTCCCCTGACTACCAGTACTGAATTACACATTACTCAGTTTGAAGATCACACAATATTTAGGCTATTTCCATTCTAAACAAATCTAATATGCATTAAGAGGTGGTAATGCCAAGTATAGAAAGAAAGTAGAAAAGTGTGTATGTATGTGATCTGATCAAGCAATTGGATGTCAGTTATCCTCAAAGAAGGACCTTAAATTGATCCCAACCTTCTGGGTATTGTTGTGTAGGTCATTCAACATCATATTTCCTTACTGAATAAGTAGATGAATCAAACCTACTTTTCTCATTTTAACAATTGTGTAAGGACTAATGAGATTTTCACAGATCTTATTTCTAAGGGAAAATGGTTATTTGCTAGTGCTCTAGAATATCATTTATGGAATTATCATTTAAATATAATAGTTCTCATATTCCTTTCATAATTCCTTTTTCTCATAATCATTTTGGGTCACTTAGCTGTGGTTCATTCCAAGACTCTGAGTTATATAGCTAACAACTGCCAGAGAAAAAAGCTAAAACCCATTTTATTCCTGATGGGTTATAGAGAAAACATATAAATCAGAACAAAATTTGTTCTGTGCAACAGTATCATCCCCAAATACTCTTAAATAGAAAGTGAAGGAGAGGGATGGAAAGGAAAGGTAGGTTGGTTGCATGACTAAACGAATAAAATTGAAAACTATTCCTGACTCTCAGAGCTACCTCAAAGCTCTAGTGATACCTCCCTTCATTCAGGCTTTGCAAGCTCAGAGCTGCTGTGGTGACAGTCTTCTAGGCTGGACAAAAGCCATTATGGCATGTAGTTTTTATAAAGCCCATGTCATTATAATAGTATATTCTGGATTTTCCTGGATAATCCTGATTCTTGCTACCCCATCCCACTCTAACACAACTCTGAGGAGGTTCCCTGTCCTTGCCCTTCACCATTCACCATCCAAGGAAAAAAGGTCAGGAGAAACGTTTTTTAAAATTGGGTAATGCTGCATACTATATTGCTCTTATATATTTCCAATGCATATTGCAATAACATTAGCCTCTGAGAAGTCCTGCAATAAAACATCATGGTAAACTTTAAGCCAGCTTTTCCTAAAGTTATATGACCGTGGAATCCTGTATTTACGTGACACCTACTACTATATAGTTGACAATGTACAATGAAAAAAAGTCTGTTTAATGTATTTAAATCATTATAAATACCTCAGGAAAATGATCCTTTATAATACAAATTATATTATTTGACGTTTTCCCAGTAGGACAAAAGAAAATCGAAATTACTAGTGTGAAAAACCTCTTTACTTTTTGTTTTTTTTAGTTGAAAGTACTCTATACAAACCAGCATAGTGTGTGTTTTTTTTAATTTACTGATGGTTTTTAAAGAGGGTATAGAGGGAATTAGAGAGGAAAACATCAATTTGTTGTTCCACTTATTAAGGTAATTGCTTCTTGTATGTGCCCTGACCGGGGATAGAACTCGCAACCTTAGTTGCTCTAACCAATGCTCTAACCAACTGAGCTACCTGGCCAGGGCAAGTATGTTTTTTATGTAAGTTTAACCCAGCTAAGAAAGGAAGTGAAATACTTGACTTAAGGAGAAAAATAAATATACCTGATACTCTGTTCTATTAAACATAAAATAACACCTCTATTTTATAATTTTTTTTTTTTAGTTTTTAGTGGACACTTAACTGTGTTCCATTTGACATGACTAGGTTAAACAAATGACATAATCTAGCATATTTCTAGATTTTCTTATTAGCTCTTAAAACATAACCAGAAGCCAGCCTCATTATAGTTCAAATTTATTTGCTTCAAAGATTTTTCTACTTCTAACTCAGTTTCTCTAAACCACTAATACAGAGGTCTTTATTTTTAAATATTGTGTTGTGCTTTGTTAATTAACCTTATGTCTCTTTTTCTTTTATTCCCTTTTTACTGAATTTATTGGGTGACAATGGTTAACAAAATTATACAGGTTTCAAGTACACAATTCCACTTCACATCATCTGTACCATGTATTGTGTGTTCACTGCCTCAAGTCAAGTCTTCATCCATCACCATTTATCCCTGATATATCCTTCTCCAGCTCCCCCACCCCCGCCATAGTCACCACACTGTTGTCCATGTCCATGAGTTTTTTCTTCTTTGCTCAACCCCTCCAACCCCAACCCAGCTTCCCAACCTCCCTTCTGACAGCTGTCAGCCTGCTCTTTATTTAAGTATCTGTCTCTATTTTGCTTACTAGTTCATTTTTTCATTAGATTCCACATATGAGTGAAATCATGTGGTACTTATCTTACTGGCTTATTTCACTTAGCATAATGCTCTCCAGGTCTACCTACGCTGTCGCTAAGGGTAATATTTCCCTTTTTAACAGCTGAGTAGTATTCCACTGTGTACTAGTAAATGTACCATAGCTGCTTTATCCACTCATCCACTGATGGACCCTTAGGCTGCTTCCAAATGTTGGCTATTGTAAATACTCTGCAATGAACATAGGGATGCATATATTCTTTTGAATTAGTATTTCGGGTTTCTTCAGATGAATTCCCCAAAGTGGAATCGCTGTATCATGAGGCAGTTCCATTTTTAATATTTCAAGGTAATTCCATACTACTTTCCATTGTGGCTGCACCAGTCTGCATTCCCACCAAAAGAGCATGAGGGTTCCCTTTTCTCCACATCCTCCACAGCACTTGAGGTTTGTTGATTTATTGATAATAACCATTCTGACAGGTGTGTGGTGATATCTCTTTGTAGTTTTAATTTGCATTTGTTGATGATTAGTGATTTTGAGCATTTATTCATATATCTCTTGATCATCTGAATATCCTCTTTGGAAAAAGTGTCTATTCAGGTCCTGTGCCTCACCCCTCCCCATCCCCCCCCCCCTTTTTTTTTGAGACTGAGAAAGGAAAGATGAAGTCCTGTCTTGGAAAGGTCAAACACAATCAAGAAGCAAAACAGTCATCAGGAGACAAATCAGATGTCTCTGTTCTGAAGGGAGACTACTGCTACCCCACAAATGAAGGAATACTAGTCCCTCTCGATGTTAATGACAGAATTACACCCCAGCCCTTGAGTTCGGCTAATAAGGAATTCAGAGCCAAGAACTCAAATACAAGCAAAAGTTTATTGAGAAAGTCATAGAGGTAAAGTGCACCAGCTGGGCTGTATGACTTAGAAAACATGTTAGAGAGGCAAAGGAAGGATCCTTGGAGCTTAGGAGAAAGAAAGCAAAATAAACATGTCTGAGGGAAGAGGGGGAAAGGCATGCTCCAACAGAGTGTGCCCTGGAAAGGATAGGGAGAGCATATCCGGCGCTCATTTTTAAATTGGATAGTAATTCTTTTGGTGTCGAGTTTTATGAGTTCTTTATAAATTTTGGATATTAACCCCTTATCAGATGTATTCAGCAAGAAAGTTCTCCCATCCAGTGCGTTCTCTTCATTTTGTTCACATTTTCCATTGCTGAGCAAAACTTTTCAGTTTGATGTAGTCCCATTTGTTTATTTTATTTTTTTATCCCTTGAGATATATCAGAAAAAAAATATTGCTACAAGAAATATCCGAGATTTTACTGCCTATGTTTCCTCCTCCCTCCCCCCAGGAGTTTTATGGTCTCACGACTTACATTTAAGTCTTTTTATCCATTTTGAGTTTATCCTTGTGTATGTTGTAAAAAGGTGGTCTAGTTTTATATCTGTCCAATTTTCCCAACACCATTTACTGAATAGACTATCTTTATGCCATTGTATGTTTTGCTTCCTTTGTAAAATATTAATTTACTATAATGGCATGGGTTTATTTCCTGGCTCTCTATTCTGTTCCCTTGACTTCTATATATGTTTTTATGCCAGTACCATACTGTTTTTATTATTTTGGCCTTGTAATAGTTTGATATCAGGTAGTGTGATTCCTCCATATTTGTTCTTCTTTCTCAAGATTGCTATGACTATTCAGGATCTGTGATATGTCATTGGTATTTTAATAAGAATTGCATTGAGTTTAAAAATTGCTTTAAGTATTATGGACATTTTAATGATGTTAATTCTTCCAATCCATGAACACACTTATTTGTGTCTTCTTTAATTTCTTTCTTCAGTATTTTATACTTTTCTAGTCCAGGTCTTTTACATCCTTGCTTAAATTTATTCCTGGGTATTTTTATTCTTTTTGAAGTAATTGTGAGTGAGATTGTTTTCTTAGTTTCCCTGATAGTTCATTATTGGTGTACAAAAATGAAACTGATTTCTGGATATTTATTTTGTATCCCACCACTTTACTGAATTCATTTATCAGTTCTAGTTTTTTTGGTGGAATCATTAGGGTTCTCTATATTCACTATCATGTCATCTGCAAATAATGACAATTTTACTTCTTCCTTTCCAACTTGGATGCCTTTTATTTCTTCTTCTTGTCTGATTGCCATGGCTAGGACTTCCGGGAGTATTTTGAATAAGAGTGATGAAGGCAGACATCCTTGTCTTGTTCCCAATCTTAAAGAAAATGCTTGTTAATGTCTAGTTTTCATATTTTATTTTCATTGTCAAATAAGTTAAATAACTATCATGTACCTATCTCAAGACAGTGATGATGAATATAAAATAGATATTTATAACAGATTCTAAATATTTTAGAATAACATTGAAATGTTTTTATTATTTGTGGCAATAGCTTCAGGATATGCACGTCTCTTCATTATCAAGCTCCACATTTTACTAATAAGAACCACTATCTCTCACAGAGCTGTGGTTGTACGAAAGAAAAAGTATGCAATGAAAGGCAAATATCTATCAAAATTTATCTACTTTGCTTCTCTAGAAATTTATTAAAATGTACTTCATTACACTACCTTTGCTTATTAAAATCTATCACCCTTGGTATACTATACCTGCGGATGTTCCAAATGAGAACACGAGTGCCTTTTTTGCCTGGGATGGCATCAAACTGGGACAGCAGGTCGTTTTCACTGTTGAAAATTGAATAGTTCAGGATGGCTTCTAGGCTGGGCAAGGAATCCTCAGTAATAATCATTTTTTGTAAAACCAATACAGTCAAAGAAAAATTAATATTTTAAGAAGATGCTATAATTAGGAAGATCTGCCTTTTGAGTTGCATGTTTAGACAAAATATAGACATAAAGCATGGGTATCACTGCAACAGAAGAAAGGAAAAGGCAAAACGAATAAAGGTTGTAGAGACAAACATAAAAATCAATTACCGCTGCAGAATATAGCTTCAAAAATATAATGTAAAGACTGTCCTAAATATACAAAATGGAACAAAGGCTGAATTTTCAGACTTTTTGGAAGCAATGAGCTCAAACTTTACTGCTGTAGGGTCAAGAGGACCTGATATCTAACAGAAATAACAGCTTGTCCAGGAATGAGGAAATGAGCGATTCTGCCATCAAATAAGCTGATAATAGAAGGTTTCTAGCAGTATGATACAAATGTAGCTGCCCTTAGGGGAAAACAAAGAGAGGGGGCACTTTACCAAAGGAGTGGTGGTGTGGGAGAGATAGAGATCAAATCACATAACAGTGAAATTTTCCATACAACAAAAACATTTCTAGGCTCTGTCAATGGTCCAATTATTTTTAAAAAACATTTAATGGGGGGGGGGGGATTCAAGTTAAATTTAGGACAGTTGAAATGATAGCTGGATTTGTCGTGAAGAAAGAGGTTTCTATCAAAATATCAGATTAGACTAATTTTTAATCAACATTTCCAGAAAGGATATTGTTTTGCTGGTTGAATGGAACAATTGGTACAATAACTGCCTGGGCCTGGACATATTCCAGGTAAGTCTGTGATAGGAGTCCAACAGTGAGAGTACCCCCATTCTTGGTGAAGACAAGAGCATCCTTTCCTAGCCGCATGGAGCCTGACTTGAAACCATTACCAAAGACCCCGATGGGACACTGGCTCTTCTTTATTACTTTATCTGTAAAGCCAAAGCTGTAATTACACAAGAAAAAATAAATCAGAAAAAAGAAAGCAGAAAGATAAAAAGCATCCTATGATAGATGACAAGCAGAATGTTTAGCTTACAAATGAATAACACTTGTAAAAAGTCATTCCTTTTTTTCTGTTGCTAATCTGGGCAAAACTATTAAGTTAAAAACATAGGAAATTACCATGGGGTAATGGGACTGATTTTCCTGTATGGTTTCTGTGTACATAAATATTTCCAGTACATTAGTGTCACATTCTATAAATGTAAAGGCGGCCTCCTTTTACTAAGAAAGATAACTGGAGAAGGTCATGGGTGTAGAGAAAATGGCTCTGATTGCTAATAGTAAGGTTAAGGTAGGGTAAAAAGGTGGTTATCTCAGAGTACACTGTATAGAGGGTAACAAAAGTACTATCAGATAGTGGCACTGGTCAGAGGTGCCAGCCTAGGCATCCCCTAACCTGGTTACATCACCTTCTAGAAATCTGAAAGTCAAAGGTTATATATCTAAACAATTTCAACTCTCCACCCAAAAGATAACCCTTCCAATTCTTACCCTCTGCTTAATCTGCTGGGACAGTTTGTTGGAATATGGCCAAGGGATAAAAATAGGTAGTTCTTCCTCTAAATATCAGCAAACAGCTGCAGTATAAAGTCTCTCTTATTCTATTAAGGGCATTTCAATGAGTCACCTCAATGATCTCTGTATCTCCTTATGATCAGTTTAATCTGTGGGTCAGATCTTTCCCCTTTCATACATTCTCCATTCAAACATGCAACAAAATAATAGAACCAAAAAAATAGATATGAAACCTATAAAATGATTATTATCTTCCTCATATATCTTCTCTCACCATAAATAAAAGTAATTTTAAGGATTATTTCTCTCCAGATTGACTATGTTTACAGTGTTATATGCTACCATTCATTTAATAAATATTTACTAAGTACCTATTATGTGCCATGCATTGTGCTAAATACTGGAGACAAAACTGTTAATAAAAGAGACAAGATTCTTGTCCTTGTGATTTACAGTTTAAGGAAAGATTTCATATATTACAGATTAGATGCTTCCCCAATATCAATAAACTAGATATTCTATATGCTATGTCTGAACAGCATGGCCTTGGTTGTTATACTTTTGAGCAAGATTGAGTTGCCTGGTTTCCACTTCCTGAAGGCTGTGGTTTGTTTTTTTCCCTAAGAAGAAGTACCATCTTTCAATTTTCTTTTTCAAAGTGTTATGTCCTTCTAGAGTAAACAATTTACAAGAGTTCTGTGCACCCTACAAATAAATATAACATAAGGAAAAATAATTTCCAGGGCAGTAGTTCCTTTGAAAATCCCAAAGACTGTTGTCTTTTTGCTATCTATGGGCCTTAGTATTCCAGGAAATAAACTTACAGAAGTTGGTAAGATTAAGACATTCCTATTTCTCTAATGAAAAAAAATTGGATATAAAAGATTTGGTTATTATGAGGAATAAATTATATACTATATGCACAATATATTATAAAACTAGGGGCCCAGTGCATGAATTTGTGCACCTTGAAAGCAAGGCTGTGGTAGGCATAGGGTTGGCCCATCCTCTGCGTCCCAGTCTAGCCACTCCCACCGCTGCCCCCAGTCCCCTCTCTGCCAGCAGCCCTGCTTCTGCTGCCAACGCTCCCATATGCACTAATGGCGCTGGCCCCGCTTACACCCGCTGATGGTATGGAATGATTGAGGCTGGTGCCAGCAGTGGGTGCAAGCAGAGGCTGCTGCCCTGATAACCCCTCAGGAGCAGGGGGAGGTAAAGAAGCCCTCAAGGGTGATTGGGACTGGCAGCCGCCACTTGCACCCGCTGATGGCACCAAGAGCTTTGTGCCTGGATTCCACTCAAAGAGCTGGTATCCAAGCCCCCTTGGTGTGTAAATACTGTTGGCTCCAGCACCAGCAGCAGGTGCGAGAGGGGCTGGTTCTGGCAGCAAGTACAAGTGCCAGGCAGGAACTTGGCACAAAGAGTTTTCAGTAACCACCAGCGCCCCACCTTGTTCTGGAGTCCCCGCTCATCTGCTCCACCATCCCACTAAGGTAAATGCCCGCCTTGTTCTAGGCACGCCCCCTGGTGGTCAGCGCACGTCCTAGTGACTGGTTCTTCAGTTGTTCTGCAGTTCGGTCTATTTGCAAATTAGGAATATATATATATCCCCAAATTAGGGATAATATATATATGTGTGTGTGTGTGTGTGTGTGTGTGTGTGTATATGTATATACATATAATACATAATATAATATATATTATATAATATATATACTATATTATATAAATTATATATTGTATAACATATATAATATATTATATGTTATATATAAATATATTTATATATATATAAAATATTCAAATTTGAATTTTAAACCAACTCTAGAAGTCACTCTGAGAATTGTTGTATGCTATCCTCTAGCTCCACTTCAGACCTAATATCATACATAAAAATCAAGGTTCTTCATAAGCAGTAACCTACCATGTGAAATGAACCTATATGGTTATCTGAACTTAAACTTTCTCTAATGGTACAAAAACTTCAATTAGGTGATAAAGTAGTGAAAACATAAATCTATATCACTCTCTTAATTTCCTAGCCATTCCTGTCCTTTCTGCCATCTATCATTTCCCCTTTGTGAGTATAAATCTTGATTGTGTTACTTAGTTTGAGAAGACCAAATGACTGTACAAGGTTGAGAAAGTAAGTAGTAGGGTAGGTCCAGAACAAGAAATGGAAATGGTTATGAATAATGAAAAGAGAGCATTTGGAACTCTGGATATTGTTGTTATGTTCCACTTAATTCTTCCCGTGTGTTCTTTTATTCCACCTCACAGTCCCATGCTAGGTATTCTATTTACTAAAAATTGCAGAATGGATGCCAGATACCAATCAAATAACTACCTAATATAAAAGCCCTCACAATAAATAATAGAATTGTAGGAATGAATTTTGTATAGTTTGGTATAGCTCACTCATTTTCCACAGAGTTAGCTTGGCTTACATAGGTGGTTTCAAATCACTAAGTCCTATTCTATCCTTTCATGTAAGAGATAACAGTATTTACACACCAACGGGGCTTGGATACCAGCTCTTTGAGTGGAATAAAGGCAGACAACAGCTTGTTCCTAACTTTATTAAAATGTCAATATTTTAGAATCTAGAGAGGAGAATTTAGATTGGGACTCTGACCAATGAAACAAACCTTAGCAAATCCATGAACATATAAGGGTGGGCACTTCTGTTTCCCAGATACAATGGAGATATAATATGCAATATCAAAGAATGAAAGACTAAGCACATTGCTATTTTCTTGCTGTTGTTTTTAAAAATGACCTACTAGAAAATGCACTTCTGAGCAGAGTTAGCAACCAAATACATTCAATCCATGGATCTGTGGCTGATGTTTATTCTTGTCCTCTCAAAGAAGAGGTTTTCCATCTTGCTGAACAAGGCAGCTGAATATATAGACCAGCTGGTTCACACACTAATCGCAGAAGCTAAAGATAATTAATTATGGGCCTTAAATAAATTTAATGATAGGCTTTTACTTTTTTTATTTTCATGGGATTCTGTATTTATGGAGAAACTGTTGCTATAGTTACATAACTATTTTATTTACCTGAAAATTGGAAGGTTACCATAAAGAGCTGGAAAATGTGAATAGGATTATAAGAAACATTATAGATCAAATTGAATTTCTGTAGGCTTAATAATTTTGCACATCTACCTCTATTATTTTTTCCAAATATAAAGGTAATATTCCCCCAACCCATATAAGAAAAATTAATGTACTTAATAATAATTTTCAAAGCTACCTCAAAGTTCAATTATTTTTTAAAAAATTATGGTAAGTGGAATCCTTGGCTAGAAGTTAGGATTGGATTACTAAATGATTTCTTCTAAATAAATGGGATCTCCTAACATATTCAAGTTTGTTTTAAGTTACAATTAGAAATAAAATACAGCACATATATGATACATAATCCAGGACTCATTAAAAATTCTTTTAAATTAATATTTAAATATGAGGAAAAATTTCCCAGCTCAAATTGGTGGAAAATATATTTGGCATGATAACTCCAAAAAATGCTATGGTGAAAGAGGTTTCTGCCTGTTTAGGTCTCTTTTGTTCTCCGAGAAAAAAATGAAATTTTAAATGAATGATACATATTTTTCATATTTCAACTCAAATGTCATTTCTTCAGGGTAGCCTTTTTTGTATTCCATATATTAGAGCAGCTCCCATCATTATATGTTCTCATAGAAACTACATTTCTCATAGCAGTTATTACTAGGTGGGATAGCCTATTTAAATATTACTTCTAATTAATCCTTTTCTATATTTCTCTTTGAACCGTCATTCCCTTGAGAGCAAAGATCATGTCTGACTGGTTCACCAACTTATTTCCAGTGACTTTCACATAGATGTCCAGTAAAAATTTGTTGAATGAATCTGGAACAAAAATTTTTGCAATTATTTTAAAAACCATCCTCTTTTTTCCTCCTGCTTTGTAACTATAAGCACCAATTTTCACAGACGAAATGGAAAGTGGTAAGATCTGCTGGGCACACTATTTGACACCAACATCACTGGAATAAAGTGTGGTGGGAAGGAGTTTGTAAAAAGATAAGTGATTTATTTACTTAATACGTTAAGTGCTCAGTCACCAGTGACTGACATTATACTTTCCATCCAGAAGACAAAACAGGCTGGTCGCTTAAAGTTTTAAATATATTTTTATTAAATTCAGAGAGGAAAAGAGGAAGAGAGAGATAGAAACATCAATGATTAAAAAAAAAATCATTGATCGACTGCTGTCCCCTACTGGGGATCGAGCCCACAACCTGGGCATGTGCCTTTGACCAGAATCAAACCCAGGAACCTTCAGTCCGCAGGCCAATTCTCTACCCACTGAGTCAAACTGGCTAGGGCAAAAGATAAGTGATTTAGAAAATAAACTAGTACATACAGAATTAGACATATAAATATTGTTGTTCCATCCCATCTAAAATTTGTATTTAATAAAAAATATTAACTTTAGCAGAAAAAAGTGATGGCTAGCTCTATAACTTCACCAACATACTGAACACTTTTTTATCTCACTTCTAGATGCCTTCCTCAAACATTCTTCTAATTATAATATGAGGGTCTGAGACACAAGGTACACAAACTGCTGAGTAGTAAACAATAACCAAATTTATAATTAGTTATGCCCAAATTTCATTTATTTCCTTTGATAGATCAACTGAATTCCCCTACAAATAGGGTTACAGAATTTGAATACCTTCAAAAAGAATTATAACAAAATGAATGTTTTCCAATTCTATAGTTTGAAACCCTTTCCCCTCCATAGAATCCCTCCATTGTTACTCATGCTTCACATACTAGTTCAGGAAGCGAGATGGAGAGTAATCAACCTCATCTACTAAATAAAATGAAGGAAGAAGAAAGGAATTGAGAAAACACTCATCTTTCACTGAGTGATATATGAAGATCATAAAGTTACATTCTCAATCACAAATCTTTTCAAGTAATTAGCTGAACTGAGAATGGCAATATAAATCTGTATCACCAGCTTCAACAGCTATAAAAGAGAATTTCCTGACTTTGAATTTCTACTGTAAAATCTTTAAAGATTATGTATATAAACGCCTTGTATTGTACCCAGCTACATTCATAGTTTTAATCCAAAGATCATCCCAATTCCAATACTTCTGATCTAAGAGTAATTTAGGTTAATATAAATTATAGAAGGTCCCAGACAAGAGATTGCCTCCACATCTTTGCACTTGCTCTTCTCTTCACCAGAATTCTATCCCTTCATACCCTGTTCCTTTACCTTGTTAAACTTGAATACTCATACTTAGATCTTAACTAACACTTCATCTATGGCGCTTTTTCTGACCTCTTAGACCAGATTGCATTCCCCTGATTAATAGTCCCATGGCATCCTAAATTTTCTTATCATTATACTTATCATTTTTATTATGATTACTGGAGGCCTGGTGCATGACATTTGTGAACTGGGGGTTGGGGGGGTGTCCTCAGCCCAACCTGCACCCTCTCACAGTCCAGGACACCTTGGAGGCAGGCGGACATTCCCTGAGGGATCCTTAAGCACAGCTGCAGAGGCAAGAGAGGCTCCCGCCACTGCCACTGCGCTCTCCAGCCTTGAGTCTTGCTTTTGGCTGAACAGTACTTCCACTGTGGGAGAGCACTAACCACCAGGAGGTAGCTCCTGTGTTGTGCCTGCCCCTTGGTGATCAGTGCGTGTCATAGTGATCAGTGTGTGTCATAGTTCTGCCATTTGGTCAATTTGCATATTAGGGTTTTATTATATAGGATTGCTTAATTGTTTGAATTGCCAGTTAGACTGTATGTTCTGTGAGGACAAAAACAGTATCTATTTCATAACCAGTGCCCTGGCACATAATAAATGCCCAATAAATATTTGTTGAATGAATAAAGGGAAAGTAAAATATTAAAGAAAATTATTAAGCCTTAACTATAGTTCATGAGCACAAGATGAGAGGCAAAGAATGAGACATTTTTACCTGAGCATTCGGTGTAATTTATGAGGTGTCATTCCACATCCATCATCAGTAAAGGTCAAACAAGATTTATTCTTGACCTCCTCAACATCTATAAAGACCGTCCTGGCAGATACATCTGGATCTACAGCATTATCTGTAAAAGGTAGAAATCTGTGATATTAGATCACTTTTTCTAATATTCTAATAAAATCTCTAGTTCAATGCCCCTAAGACATAGAACATGTTCTTTATTCCCTTTATGTGGATGTCCCAGAAGGTGAACAGGAAGTGGTAATGGTAGTATACATACTAGGTTATAGGAAACAATAGATATGATAGCAGATGGAATTATAAGCTGATTTTTATTTCATATAATGTCTGATCTATGATCTGCTTTTCTCCCTTTAATATTCAGGGTCTGTGGGAAAAATAATTCTTCTTATATACAAAGCATTTTGCTTTGTTTTCTTATTATTTCTTGCCTTTTAGCCACTTTGCTGTTCATGAACACACATAGTAAAGGGTGGTTGTAGAGAAGAGCTAAATCACAATTTTGGTCTAATAGATGTGTATTATATACATTATAGTTTATTGTGAAAATCTTATTTTCTACTTTTTTTTTTTTACATAAATTCCTCTGCTAAAGAACACAGATATAATCATCATCCATCTTTGTAGCCTAAGAGGCATTTAAAGAGTTAGATGTTAAAATTAAAACATTAATTGCCTACCTAGATCCCAGTGATAGAAACAAGCTTGCTTGGGAGAAACAGTGATTCTGCTTACACTCTGGAATAGTCTTAAAGGTGAGACTGCCCAATCCTCATTAAATAGAGAACATAGAATTAAAGTAGAAAAAAAAATAGAGAACATTTCATAATTCCTCTTGAGTTAGGTCTTCATAACAGATTAATTATTTAAAAGTCCAAAGACATCAGCTCTAGCCACAATCTTACATCTGCATCATGTTCACAACACCAGATGCCTTTGTCTAGTGGCGACATCTTTTTTGCCACAGATGCGAGTTTACACAGTCACAGACACATGTCGTGCAACTAACTGTCTTAAAACTTACTGGCCTGAGTGGGAGGGAAGTTTGTGCAATCTGTTGGATAGGTTTCTTAAGCACTCCTGTCTCTACTAGCTCTTTAATCAAGACTAAGACCTTTCCTTCCACCATTTCCCTTTTCCCTGGCATCCTATACTGCTTTACTAATAGCACAATGCTGGGCTGAGTGATCCAATTGGGAGGCTATCTATATAGCAGTCCCATTGCCACTGTTCAAATTGTGGCATTTCTCCACTGTGAACATCCCTTAAAAGCAAGAGAAGTATTACACATATTAAAAATATTAATTTTTACAATACAATTAACAGTATCAGTTATAACCACTTTGATGTGTGGAATGTCCATTGTATAAAACAAGACACAGATTAATTTCAAGGGCCACATGATGTTGCCAGAACCAGTGATAAAACTGTAGGTCTGACAGAGTCAATCTTTAAGGACTAGGTAGGTCCCAAACTCTGTGTCATGTTGCAGATCAATTGGGCCAACTTTTGGCAGGAATTATAAGTTTGACATGCAAGAGTGGCTTTATTAGAAATACAAGTTTTGCTATGCAACAGAGGGAATTGGTTTTTTTTCTTTAAGTGACAGAAGGATCCAGCATTTTAAAGCTGCCTACATTGTTTCAAGAAACTATTTGGCAAACAGGCCTTGAATTGTTTTAGGACCTATCAGTCACTCCTGCTGGCAGAAATCCAGGGCCATTGAGAATGATACATTTAACTTGTCAACCAACAGGACATCATGTCTACTTTGAAAACTTTGCACATGGAGAAATTTTTTCTAACACTTCACAAACAAACATTCACAGTACAAAAATGTAACACATATCAATTCCAATTCATTGAATCACCTTGCAAGCCTCTCATAAAATCACTTTTACTTTTTTCCTCTTAAGTGCAAAATTTGCCCAAACTTTAGTAGGTGCTTCGTTACAGGAACACACCAAAGAGTTTTAATACAGGCACTTCAGGAGTTACAAAGTAGTTGCCAGGAGCAGCTAGATATTTTATCTCCTTGGCAGAAAGCTGGTAGAGTACAGGGGGGAGGGGGCATGCAAGATCCAGGGTCAGCTGGAGCCACAGGGCAGAAATCAGTGAAGCAGTCACAGCAATAAATTCAGCTTTGCACTTACTTTCGGTTTTAAGTGGCTTTTCATTTAGCCTTAACAAATAAGACATCCCCTGAAAATAAGACCTAGTGCAACTTTGGGAGAAAAAATTAATATAAGACACTGTCTTATTTTCGGGGAAACAGGGTACTTAGTCAAGGGCATAAAAAACCAGATTGCAGCGATCTATTTCATCCCCTAACCTGGTCCATCTGATCCCTGATCTTCTAAAAAACAAAAAACAAAAAAACATTGTCACTAAAGCCTCATTCCTCATCAGAACCTGGAAGGCAATTGTCCCATGACAACCTCCCTGGAGAAACAGGTTGGAGAGTGGGAAGATTGCTTTTATATTTAATTGAATTTATTGGGGTGACGTTGGTTAATAAAATTACATAGATTTAGGCTTACAATTTTATAATACATCATCAGCATACTATAGGCCCGGTGCATGAAAATTCACGCACTGGAAAGGGGGATCCCTCAGCCTGGCCTGCCCCCTCTCACAGTCTGGGAACCCTCAGGGGCAGAAGGTGACCCAGCCATCAGGGAAAAGCGATGCCTCCATCACACCTCTGCTGCTGCCACTGCCGGCAGCACAAGCTTCAGCCGACTCTGGCTACCTGAGCCTTGGGTGGCCCTGAGTGGCTGAGCAGCCAACATCCAAGGCTTATCTGAGCACTGGGCCAGCCCTGGGTGGCTGAGGGCTGAGGGACTAGGGGACTCCAGAGGCAGACGCCGCCATTTTGTGGCTGTGGGTGCTGCCATCTTTGAGGGCATGCAGTCAATTGGCATATTCCCTCCTTATTGGCTGTGAGCACTGCCATTTTTGAGGGTGTGGCAGTAATTAGCATATTCCCTCTTTATTAGATAGGATTATACTGTGTGTTCACCAGCCACGTCAAGACTTCTTTCATCACCATTTACCCCTCCTAGGGAGATGTCTTTGAGGTAGTGCTTCATGAGTCTCTCAACATCTCCTGTCCCAAAAGGATGGCCTATGTGGATTCCTACAAGTTTGCAGTTACCCTACAGACAACCTGCTAATATCTAAAAGTATTTGCATCTAAAATGAAGGGCACCCTCTTCTGACACAAGCTATTCATACACACACACACACACACACACACACACACACACACACACAGAGTCATCATTCAAACGACCACCAGTTTGGTATTCAAGTCATTATTCCCTCTCATCTGGATTATTATAACCTCCTCACCAGACTTTTAAAATCAAGTCTTTATGCACTGTTGCAAGATTAATTTTCCTGAAGCAGAGCTCTGATCCTGACATTGCCCTGCTCGGTAAACTTCAGACTAGCCCAGCTGATGTGTCTCAGTAGTTGAGCATGGATCTATGAGCCAAGAGGTCATAGTTTGATTCCTAGTCAGGGCGTCTGCCTGGGTTGCTGGCTTAATCCCCAGTAGGGGTTTGCAGGAGGAAGCTGATCCATGATTCTCTCTCATTGATGTTTCTCTCTCTCTTTCCCCCTCTCTCTAAAGTCAATAAAAACCTATTGAAAAACAAAAAAAAATGTCAGACTAAAATATCAAACCTTCTAGTCAAATCCTGATCCCACTGGGCCTTTTTTAAAAAAATATTTTTTACTGATTGTAGAGAGGAAGGGAGAAGGAGAGAGATAGAAACATCAATGATGAGAGAGAATCATTGATTGGCTGTCTCTGCACACACACACCCCACCAGGGATCTAGCCCACAACCCGTGCATGTGCCCTTGACTGAATCAAACCCAGGACTCTTTAGTCCACAGGCCTACACACTATCCACTGAGCCAAACCAGGTAGGGCCCAGTGGGCCTTTTTAACTTCATTCTTTATTTGAAACTTGGAGGAAAAAAAAAAAAAACACCTGTGTTTGAGTCCTGGATTTGCCACCTACTAGACATGTAACCTTGGAAAAGTCAATTAAATGCTGAGCCTCTATATCCTTATCTGCAGGATGATGGTGATAATAGTAATAATACCATTTATATCAAATGATAAAGTTAGAGAAATCAAGATGGCGGCATAAGGTAAACACCTATACTATGACCTCACACAGCAATTTTAAAACTGCAACTGGAAGACAGAGCAGACATCATCCAGAACCACAGGAAAGCTGGATGACTGGAAATTCTATAACTAGAAGGAAAGAGAAAAGAACACAGACTCAGAGGAACTATGGAGATGAGGAGATCCGTGCATGCAGAAAAGGCAGGTTGGCTTACTTGCAGTGTGCCAGCTACAAACCCGTAGCTAGCTGTCTCATTCGGGAGGAAAACAAAACCTCCCAACTGGACTGAAATCTAGCTCCGGATGAAACTTTGGGTACCAGACTCATTCGAGAAGAAATTGGACTGTCTGGCAATGGGTAAAACTCGAGAGCAGCCTTCTCTCAGGGGTGCATGCAGCCAGGATACGGAGACACAGGGCCCTCGTAGGGTGGGACTGACAGAAAACCAAGGCTGTCTTCTCCACCCTGAGACTCCTCCCCTTCCAAGCTGAGCACAGAAGCCTTCTCAGCAGAAACACTGCTGATCCTCACAGCCAATTGGCCTGGAGGTCAACTCCCCCATGATACCAACAATCAAGGCTTAACTACAAGACTGCACACACAGCCCAAAAAGGGCTGCACCAAGAGTGTCTGCCTCAGATAACTGGGGAGGCTGAGCTCCTGGGCCCTGCTAAGACACATAGCACACAAAGCCACTCCATCAACTCAGGGAAGCAGCAAAATTTTGGAGACAAAGAGACGGGCCACAAATGAAGGAAATGGAGTAAAGCAAAAGACTGGATAGAGAGTTCAAATCACAGTTATAAGGTTTTTCAAGAATTTCCTAGAAAAGGCCGATAAATTTTATAAGACCTTCAACGATATGAAAAAGGATCAACTAGAAATTAAGCATACACTGGCTGAAATAAAAAATATTATACAGAGACCTAAAAGCAGAATAGAGGATTGCAAGAATCAAGTCAAAGATTTGAAATATGAAGAAGCAAAAAACACTCCTCTGGCAAAGCAAAAAGAAAAAAAGAATCCAAAAAGTAAGAAGCTTCTGGGACATCTTCAAGCGTACCAACATCTGAATTATGGGAGTTCCAGAAGAAGAGAGAAAGCAACCTATTTGAATAAATAGTGAGAGAAAACTTCCCCCACCTGGTGAAAGAAATAGACTTATAATTCCAGGAAGCACACAGAACCCCAAACAAAAGAATCCAAAGAGGACCACACCAAGACACATCATAATTAAAATGCCAAGAGCAAAAGACAAAGAGAGAATATTAAAAGCAGCAAGAGAAAAACAGTTAGTTACCTACAAGGGAGCACCCATACGACTGTCAGCTGATTTCTCAACAGAAACTATGCAAGCCAGAACGGAATGGCAAGAAATATTCAAAGTGATAAATAGCAAGAAACTACAACCAAGATTACCCTACCCAGCAAAGCTATCATTCAGAATTGAAGGTCAGATAAAGAGCTTCACAGATAAGAAAACACTAAAGGAGTTCATCACCACTAAACCAGAATTATATGAAATACTAAAAGGTATTCTTTAAGAAGAGGAAGAAGAAAAAGTTAAAAGAAAAAATTATGAACAACAAATACATATCTATCAACAAGTGAGTCTAAAAACGTAGGGAATAAAAAAATCTGATGAACAATATTAACTGGTGAATATAATAGAATCAGGGGCATGGAAAGGAAGTAGTTTGACAATTCTCAGGGGAAAAGGGGAGTGAGGGGTGCAGGAAGAGACTGAACAAAAAGTGTACACCTATGGATGAGGGAGGGGGTAAGGGCAGAGGGTTGGGTAGAAACCTGGTGGAGGGAGATATGGGGGGGGGGGAGGAAGAAGAACAATTGTAATAAACCGAACAATAAAGACTTATTAAATTAAAAAAATAAAATAAAATAAGAAACCAGAAAAAAATAGTTAAAAATGTATTTGTGAAAGATCTTTATAAACTCTAAGGACCTAGAGTTTTGACTATTTGTGAGCTTCATGCTCTAATTAAACTCAACTACTCAGTATTCTTCATGCCTTTGTTCAAGCAGTTGTTACTTTTGCCTGGAATGCCCTCCCCACCCCACACCCATATCCACATGTCCCAATCCTTCAAATCTCAGCTCAAATGTCACATCTACAAAGCTTCCCCTAACACTCCTCTTCCTGGTAAGCTGGAAGTCATCCCTCTCTCCTCTGAACTCCCACAGCACTTGATGCGTATATCTTTACTGATAGATCATTTTTTTATTTTATTGTTATACAAAGCATAATACTTCTATACATATTTTATCTCTCTTACTAGAAGTGTGAATTTTTGTAGTGAAATGGTGGCCTTGCCCACAGTGAGTACTCAATAAATATTTATTTAATGAATGTTTCACTAGAAAATTAATACACAAGTGGAGAAGAAAACTGTTGAAGGAAAACCTACAATTAAAGTTTTGGATTACCAGTTAACACTCTGCTCTCCCTTTTCCCTATTATTAATATAACCACAAATAGTTGTGATTTGGATTTAAAATTCGTGTTAGTTTTTATGAGCATTTTATCTGTATACATACATTTATGCCTAGATAGATAGATAGATAGATAGATAGATAGATAGATAGATATAGATAGATAAAATACCCATAAAAACTGGTACTCATATGGGACAGCTTAGACCAGGCTTAGGTTAAGTTAATGCTTGAGACAAAAATCATATGTACATAGAATTACAAATCACCCATAAAGTTCAGTATACTGTAGATATATATGGTTTTGAACAGTGTCACTATGAACTAGCTGAGCAAAAAACACACTTGTCTCCCATTCCCTATTAAGTAAATTGTTAGTTGTCCCTCTCTTTTTGTTTTCTTTTACTAAGTTACAAGCACATAGATCTCATTCCACTGGGCCGAATTTCACTCAAGGCATATTGCAAGACTAAAAATATAGTCCCTGTTCTCTAGGATTCAAAATATGTCAATGTCACTTTTTTCTCTGTACCTTCTAATGGACAGTCATACATATTGCAAGCATTCTGTTTTATGGTCAAACTAATCATGAAAGTTCCCAGTCACCTTTCCAAATAACTCTCCTGCTCCTCGCTGACTTCTTGTCCCAGACAATTCACACTGCATGGCCACAGCGATTGCTTAAGTAAGACCTGGGGCTCATTTTGGGGAGCTCTGAAACATTTTCAATATTTTTTGTGCTACCTTGCCCCATAAACATCTCTCATCTCTTTAAGTTTTTGAAACAATGTGCTCTGTATGCTGCTGCATTTTGTCCAGGAATGGTTTTCTCCTTTGTTTTTCACACAGTATTTAGCACACTACAGCAAAAAGCTGGTGTATTTGGCTTCAAGGGAACCAACTGAAAACGCTATTAAAAGCAAACATCGGTGGAACAAGAGGTTAACTGCTCAGTATTCATTCCAGCGGTGTGAGGGCGCTCTTGGACCACGGACCTAGCCCTCCGAAGTCGCAGGGAGCCAAATGCACTCGTGTCATCTCTTAAGAAATGTCCCATCATTCCCAGATTCTTTGGTCCCCAAAGTTAAAGAACTCCGTTTTCCAGACCTTTCTTCCTGACCCTACTGGGTGCACTTACAATGGCCTTACACTAGCTTGGGGCCTTTGCTCTATAGACAGTCCCTGTGATGCCCAACTGCCTTAGGACCCCATCTCCCTTTGATTATTAACTAAGTTATCCTAAAGTGCCTGGAACATCACGAGTCAGAGGGGGGAAAAAACAAAAAACAAAAAAACATAGGAGTCATAACAGTTGGGAAACACCTTGTTTCCTCGGCTTTATTCGCGAAACACCATTCCTGTCTAGAGAGCCATCCTCCACCTCCTCCGCCAGCGGAGCGGGGGCAAGTCCCGACGCCCTCACCCCGGCCCCGGCCTCCCCCCCACCCCACCCCCGCGCGGCTCCACACGTTCCTCTCGCGGCCGCCGCACCACGTCGGCAGCACGGCCTCGGGCGATCGCGGCCAGGCCCACCCTCGCCACTCACCTAGCAGCTCAGCGATGGCACTGAAGGGTCGCGTGTGGCTGCTGGAGTTGCTCTGTAGATAGCGGGGGCTCATCTGGAGGCGAGAGAAGGTCCCGTCCCGCGTGAGGCCTCGGTCCGCCGGGCCCTCCCCGCGCGCCCCCCGCAGCTCCAGGGCCCGCGCGCGCGTCCGCCCCCTGGGGTTCCCGACTTACCGTGCTCAGGCGGATCCCAAACGCCTGCGGGCTGCCGCCCGGCCGGGCCAACCCGCTGCCCGGCGCGCCAGGGCCGGCGGGGGCCCCTCGGTACAGGAGCATTTTTTTGGCCGCCACGATACTCGGTCGCTGCTTCTAGACTGCTCGCCCGGCCGCCCCGGGCTGGATCGCTCTCGCACTTGCAGCTGGCGGCGGCGGTCCGGCCGGCCCCCTCGCTCCCACCCGCAGCTGGCGGGGGCGGGGCGCGCTCCAGCCACCTGTCCCGGGCGGGAGGGGTGAGGCCGGCAGAGCTGAGCTGTGGCCCCGCCCTGTTAGCACCTCTCTCGACCCACCTGGAGGACTGCCTGGGCGTCCTCCTGGCCGTACAGAAATATGGCGACCTCCTGACAGCCTCTCCTTGATCCCCGCCCCTAATTAATTCTTGGCGTTTGCCATAGGCCAGCCCGCTGAGCGGGAAAGCTCGGGGGGTGGGAGGGGGCGGGTGCCTGGGGAGAGGCTGGAATGAGGCAAGGAAAGGGAGAGGGTGTAGGGTTTTCTGGAACAGAGTCCCGGTTAGGCTGCATGACTAAGGGGCAGGATAAGACAAGTTTTAGAAGTTCTAAAGACCACAGTTGTGCTATCTGGGGAGATGGGAAAGCATTCTGACTACTCTGGTTCAAATGTCTCCTGAAGCACCTTCTAGAAGGCAATTGGCAAATCGTCTTCAAATCTTTGCAGGCCTGGGGGTGAGCTGTTTATAAAAAAAAAAAATTGGAATGCACTTAAATACACCAACATAGCGATTGGTTAAATTACAGAGTGAATATTGATGTGGAAAATATTCATGAGGGAATGAAGGAAACAAGAGGTTACAACATACGGTGCAATGTGATTATCTTTTTATTTGAAAAACAAGTATTGGAAAAACAAGTATACATACATATGCATGCGTACACATGCACACACTCACACACCCTCAGAAACATGAAATCATATATTCCAAAATGATCTCTCCACGTTTGGAATTATGAATTTTTTCCTTTTTTCTTATTTGTACTTTCTAAATTTTATACTATTAAACGCATACTGTTTAATTATAGAAAAAAAGTTTTTTACTTTTTAAAACAATATAAAGTTCCCTAGTATGATCATAATTTGATCATTTTTCTATGATAATTTAGGTTGTTTTCAACTTTTTTTTATAATACAGAAAGTGCTTTTTTTTATAATACAGAGGATGTGTGCATCCTCATTTACAGATTATTAATTTCTGGCACTATTATTTCTACAGAATATCGCTGTGTCTAATATCATGTTTACTCTTAATGAATATTTAATACTATACCGGGAGGCGATTTGCCCTCCCAGAAATGGTCAGAACTAGATGGTCCTTATCTGATCTGACTAACCTTCCCCACCCCCCTTTTATTTGCCAATGTTTTGAATTAAAAAAATGTGTCTCCATATTGTTTTAATTTGCATTTCCCCAACTACCAATAAAGCTGAATATCTTCTGAGATGTTTATTGTATATTTGTATCTCTTCTGTAAGTACCTGTTTATATCCTTTGAACATCATCTCCCCCTGCGTTGGATCCTTTGCATTTGTCTTTTTTTATATCTTTAAAAAAAATTAAATATACAAAAGTACAGAGAATGATATAGCAAATCTCCAAAAACTTATTACTGAGATTAAAATATTATCAGGAGTTTACCATATCTGCTTTATATATTCTTTTCTTTTTTATTTCTGTAAAAATTTTAGAGCAAATCTCAAATATCATCTCAGTTTACTCTATACACTTCAGTGTCCTCTGAAAATATGCAATTTTCTTAGAAACATAACCACATGGCCACTTTCAAACTAAACAAAATTCATACCAATTATTTGATGTCCTCTAATATCCAGTCCATATTCTGATTTCCTCAAGTATCTCAAAAAATATTTTTTACATTTAGTTTGTTTACATGGTCATCCAAACATTGCACTTAGATGTCTGCCATCTAAGCCAGTATCTTTATTCACACTATTGAGTTGTTGAAGAAACCAAGTCACTTGTACTGTTGAATGCCTACACTCTCATTTCTCTGTTTGCATTTTTGTTGACACTTAGCCTGCTCTTCTTGATAGAGGAATAAATGAAAAATAACTATAAATCATAAGTTGGCTATGAAGGCTTTATTAGATCCCAGTACAATTTTTTAAAAACAGGAAAGCTGCCGAAACCGGTTTAGCTCAGTGGATAGAGCATCAGCCTGCGGACTGAAAGGCCCCAGGTTCTTTGATTCAGGTCAAGGGCATGTATCTTGGTTGCGGGCACATCTCCAGTAGGGGGTGTGCAGGAGGCAGCTGGTCGATGTTTCTCTCTCATCCATGTTTCTAGCTCTCTATTCCCTCTCCCTTCCTCTCTATAAAATATCAATAAAATATTTTTTAAAAAGCAGGAATGTTCAGAAGTGGTGCTGTATACTTCCTATTGCATCACATTAGGAAGAACATACTGTTCAACCCTTAGTGATGTTCAGATCCATCAATTCAGGTGGAGGTAGTCTGAATGTTCCACTATAGGGTTACCTCAGAAATATTGTGGATTCAGCTCCAGACAGCCTCAATAAAATGAATATTCCCATAAAATGAATCACATAAATTTATTGTTTTCCCAGTGTATATAAAAGTTATATTTACACTATATTGTAGTCTATTAAGTATGCAATAACATTATGTCCAAAACCGCAATGTACATGTTTTAATTTAAAAATACTTTACTGCTAAAATATACTAACCATCATCTGAGTCTTAATAATCTATCATAATTTTTTTTCAAAAAATCTTTATTATTGAAAGTATTACATGCCCTCCCCTTTTCCCCCATTAACTTCTTCTAACCTCCACCCTGCCCCCACATCCCAGACCTTCAAATCATAATCTTTTTGCTGGTGAAGGGTCTTGCTTCAATGTTGATGGCTGCTGACTGATTAGGGTAGTAGTTGCTAAAGATTGGGATTGCTGTGGCAATTTATTAAAGTAAAACAACAATGAACTTTGCCACATTAATTGACTCTTCCTTTCAGGGATGATTTCTCTATAGCATTAGAGATACTTTAGAGTCAGTCCTCTCAAACCCTACCACTGCTTTATCAACTAAGTTTATGTAATATTCTAAATCCTGTGCCCTTATTTCTATAATCTTCACAGAATCTTCACTAGGAGTAGATTCCATCTCAATAAGTCATATCTTTGCTCTTTCATAAGAAGCAACTTGTCATTTGTTAAAAGTTTATCCTGAGATTGTAGCAATTCAGTCATATCTTCTGGCTCCACTTCTAATTCTAGTTCTCCTATTATATATTTCTACCACATCTGTAATTACTTCATCCACTGAAGTCTTGAACCCCTCAAAGTAATCTGTGAACTGTTAATATTGATTCTTCTCCCATGAATCATCACCATGTTCTTAATGGCATCTAGAATAATGAGTCCCCTACAGACTCACTATTCTAGATGCCGTTTTACTTTGCCCAGATCCATCAGAGGAATAATAATCTATGGTAGCTATAACCTTATAAAATGTATTTCTTAAACAATTAAACTTGAAAGTCAAATTTACTCCTTGATTCATGGGCTTCAGGATGGATGTTGTGTGAGCAGGCATGAAAACAACATTATTCTCATTGTACACTCCATCAGAGCTTTTGGGTGATGAGGTGCATTGTCAATGAGCAGTAATATTTTGAAAGGCATCTTTTTTTTTCTTTTTTTTTTTTTTTTTTTTGCTGAACAGTGAGCTTAAAATATTCAGTAAACCATGTTGTAAGCAAATGTGCTGTCATTGAAGTTTTGTTGTTTCATTTACAGAGTCTAGACAGTAGATTTACTGTCATTCTCAAGAGCCCTTGGATTTTTTTAGAATGGTAAATGAGCACTGGCTTCAACTTAAAGTCACCAACTTCTCTAGCCCCTAACAAAGTTTTTTATTTTTATTTTTTTTTATTTTTTTTAATCAATCTTTATTGTTCATATTATTACAAAGGTTCCTCATTTCTTCCCCCCTCCACCAGGTTCCCACCCCACCCTCCGTCCCCCCCCATCCCCCATTGTCCTCATCCATAGGTGCAGTTTATGTTCAGTCTCTTCTTCCCTCAATTTCCCCAATAGTAAATCCCTTTTCAGATAGTAAATCAGTTACTTAGCATTTTCTCATATCAATAATACCTCCACATGCCCAATGATACACTTCACACAAAAAACATTTCCCACTAGGTCAACCAGCCTCATCCAGGCCCCACCCAAGGCACTCACAGATCAACACCCCAGTCCTAAACTAACTCAACACATCCAGATCTAAGCCTTCATCACTTGATTCAGCAGACCCTCAAGTTCCCACGAAAGTTTCCAGCCATGTCTGAGAAGCAGCCGTGGGGCAGGGGCAGGCAAGGAGCGAGCTGTTCCGGGCCTGGCTGCTCAGGGCCTGGCCTCTGTTGCTCTGGTTCATTCCACAACCAGCTGCTCCGGGTCTGGTCACTGCCGCTCCTGACCTAGTTGCTCTGGACTTGGCTGCTGCTGCTCCGGGCCTGGCCGCTCCCAGCCTGGCAGCCACTGCTCCGGACCTGGCCGCACCAGCCCCGCCTGCTCCCCCGGGCCTAGCCGCTCCCAGCCTGGCAGCCGCTGCTCCGGGCCTGGCCGCACCCGACCCGCCTGCTCCCCCGGGCCTGGCCGCTCCCAGCCTGGCAGCCGCTGCTCCGGGCCTGGCCGCACCCGACCCGGCTGCTCCCCCGGGCCTGGCCGCTCCCAGCCTGGCAGCCGCTGCTCCGGGCCTGGCCGCACCCGACCCGGCTGCTCCCCCGGGCCTGGCCGCTCCCAGCCTGGCAGCCGCTGCTCCGGGCCTGGCCGCACCAGCCCCGCCTGCTCCCCCGGGCCTGGCCGCTCCCAGCCTGGCAGCCGCTGCTCCGGGCCTGGCCGCACCCGACCCGCCTGCTCCCCCGGGCCTGGCCGCTCCCAGCCTGGCAGCCGCTGCTCCGGGCCTGGCCGCACCCGACCCGCCTGCTCCCCCGGGCCTGGCCGCTCCCAGCCTGGCAGCCGCTGCTCCGGGCCTGGCCGCACCCGACCCGCCTGCTCCCCCGGGC